GTTACTTGCAATGTCGATCCATTTACATTTCTTACTATATAGGCTTTTAAATGTGGATGTAGGGTTTGAAACAAGGGGGCATTCCCTGTCATATGATTGGAGGCTCTAAAGTCCACTATCCAAGTTTTTGGATATCTATTTTGGACATAAATGACATTTAAACCATACCTTTTTGAGCAATTACACCAATGATGATTTCTGGTGCTAAAGGCTTTGGTTTTGACTTTTCTAGTCAAAACTTAGAGAAGGTTTCTTGAATTTGAGGGTTAGTCACTACAGGTGTATCTTTCTTTAAATATCATTTTTTATTTAATCATCATTATGGTTTAAACAAAAAAGAAATCCTTGAAGGAAGGGTGAGGCAATATGCATTTGCTGGTGTATGACGTGTGTGTTTATGTGAGTTCAACAAGGCACGAGTGCATTTGATTTTTTAATGGGAGATGAATGTCTCAATGATATTGAGGCTAATGAACTCTAGCTAGAAACATGGGCTCAAACTGCTCGTTTTGCCTTGCGTCTTCACTGCTGGTCTCTCTTCCCCTTGATTACAGCTATTTTTCTTTTTGTTTTCCCTCATAATCACCCTTAATTCTATCTTAGCAAATCCACTTAGTCAAGGTGTGGGCAGACAAGAAATTTGCACATGAAAGGGTTACGAGATGCGTGTTGGCGATAAGAGAGGTCGTTGTATCAACAAGGCTTGGCATGCAAATGATGGGATCTTACTAATCGCCATAGAGATCGATCCCTAGTAGATCTTCACATACTCGAAAAAGATGAGGGCGAGTCTCTCTTCGTTGAGTAAAATCAAGACAATGGACGTGATCTTAACTAGAGAAAAGATGAAAATCAACTTAATTAGAGTTGAGTCTTTGATATCATTTTAGAATATTTGAAAGAAGAATACTGCATACTTTCTCTTATTTCAATGAATATTTGCTATACAATATTTATAGGAAGGAGAGTTTATATAAAGAAGAAAATAATAATAATTAACCTAATTAATTACGATCAATTCAATATTTAAAAAGTATGTTTTGTATATGCAAATAGTGGCAAATGGATTGCATGTGGAATATGAAATAGTCACAGATTTTCAAAATGGCTAATCATATGATTGGCGGCATTTACATCCAACGTAGATACAAAAGATACGGATTGCTATGGTGGTTTATCTGAATTTAATGCAAATTTTGACTTACAATTTTAAGAATTTCCATTAAAGATTTGAATACATATAAATCTTATGATCTACATTTGAGCAGGTAAACCCATATAGCATGATAAGGATTATTAATAAAAGTAACAAATTACCAAAACCTTAGATGGGTGGGTCAAAATAGGAGTCATACTTCATATGTTAGAATGAATAAGTTTAAAAGAATTATGAGTAGTGATAAAAGATGAAAAATATACTTGGTGATGTTTATCAAGTTCACAAGCATTGTATTCCAAATTTAAAGAGCATATAGAAGTGAACCATCAAAGTCAATGTGTTGGTGGGTGATCCAGATGATGGTACCATTGGAAAGGATTGATGGTGGAAAACAGAGCAAATGAGACCTTGGGTGTCATGTAGTCCATTTAGAATGGTAAATTCTTATAGAATATTTATGCTTGTTGAGACAATGAATGGAGAATAAGTCAATGGAAAATTTAAAACATATAATATAAGAGATAAATTTATGAATAGATATATACAGCATTTGCGAGAGACACGAGAGTAGGATTCATCCATAGTAAGGATCGACTGTAGAGAAGAGAGTTAAAAATAAGAAAATTGATAATTACCTTACTTGTAATATGTGAGAAAACATGAGAATCTAATATCCAAGATATATCAGAGGATGTTGCAACTGTGGAATCATATGAAGAAATTTCATAGGACAATCATGAATTTTATATAGTTTAAAAATACAATTATAATTCTTCTAAGAAAAAGTAACAAATCTAGAACAAGTTGTAGGACTAGGCTAATAATGATAATTAATCAAAGATTCAAAGTAATAAAAAGAGGATGAGTAGTCCATCAACAATGATAACACGATGGAAAATATATTTCCTCTATTCCTATAACCATGAACATGACAACAACGATTATAATATCTTATAGTTAGGGTAGACTAATCAAAGATTGATGAGGAGGGAGTCAAAAATTAAGTGACTCGTATAACACTTGTGGGACTATTTGCAATATTGGGATTAGGGGTGTAAATCAGTCGAGTCGAGTATATGACTAATCAAGCTAAGCTTGTTTAGCTGTTACTGAGCTCATTTACTAAGCTCGAGCTCGACTCGTTAAAAAATTCATTGGCTTTAGCTCGATTTGATTGCTCGAGCTTGTTTAGAAAGCTCGAGCTTGTTTAGAGAACTCGAGCTGGTTTCGATTATTGAGCTCGATTTTTTAGTTTTAAATTAAATTTTTTTTTTTTTGAATTTTTATATTTTAATATAGAATTAATTTAAAATTATTAAAAATATGTTATATAATGCTAATTTAAATTAATTATTAAATTCATTTTAATTTAATCGAGCGGCTCAATGAGCTTTTGAGCCGAGCTAGGCTTGAGCTCGAGCTAGTTTAATATACAAGCTCCAGTATAGGCTCGAGCTTGAACTCATAATTCAATAAGCTAGACTCACGAGCTCATTAATGAGTCGAGCTCAAGCCGTCTTGCAAGTCGGCTAGACTCACTTACACCCCTAATTGGGATTGATGGAATTCGCTATCAGCTGTGATTATTATACCTTGTGAAGTGAGGTGAAACCATGAGAGAAATTTGGCAATAAGAAACTCCCCATTCTATTGTTAACAATTTAAAGTGTTAATATTTAAGAAGCTTATCCCACTTATCTTGTAGGGTAAGACTATTATTCTTGGATTGGAAGATTGTTTATTGAATTAAAGAGTGTATAACATAGATATGTTTCTTTCTTTCAAAAATTAAGTTGAGCATAAAATATCTCATATTGCTTCAGTCAAAGATAATGGTGGAGGCAATGGAAGGTTTGTTATGTTTAAGCATCCAATTGAGGACAATATAATTTTATGCTTTCCATTTAAAGAATTTTGAGGTGTTTTTGCAAGCTTGCTAGGAAGAATCTAATGAATGAGTTTATTATCAAAGCAGGTAAGAAAACAAAAAAACTCTTGATCAAAGAAGATAATTTGTATAATTAAACCTTATTATTGTTCTAATGATGGAATAGGCTTTAGAGTAAAAAAGAAAAGGTTGAGAAACCATGAAACCATAGAGAAGAAGAAACCAAAGAAGCTAGGGTTGACTTAAATCATGTTTGACTTCATGCCTTGGTGAGGATAGCAAAATGGCATGACGCGAGCAACGAGCGCTCTATGTATATAGGTGCAATGAGAAGTTGAGGAAAGGGAGCACGCTTGTATGTGCAAGGTTGGTTGCTATCAAAGGATGGACCAAGCAAGTTTGATTTATGAGTCTATGCTTATAGAGGATGATGCAAGAAATTGATAGGAAGCAGGGTAAGTATGAGGTGCATTGTTTCAAAGGTGAAAATGATTGTAGGTTCAGTGGTGCTCAGCGATGTCCAATTTCAGGAAATTTGGCGTGCTACAAGGTATGTTCGAGTGGATGAGAATTGTGTTGATGTCACTAACTAGAGTGAGTGGCTCGAGGGCACGAGTATAGTGCGAGTGGCTAGTGAAAATTCTAGTGTGGATCAGGAATATGGAGCGGTATCTAGATTAGGCCAAGCGATGGAGGGGTTAATCTACTCTAGTACCATGTTAGGAAAGGAAAACATGTATATCTTTGTTGATTATGTTTTGGTCGGTGAGTACAAAAGAGGAAACAAATAAAGGAGAATGATATTCCCAATAATGTGAAATAAAAATACATCTCCTAATATAATATATAGACCTTCCAATATGATTATATAAATAATTCCTTAATAGAGCTAATAATCTGGTTCATCTTTTGTTGGTTTATTATTGAGTCAAACTTTATCTGAACATTAGCAATAAGTCAAATGCATTGTCTAATTTTTATTAATATTTGCGATTGTATGAAAAATGTTTGTGATTTTCAGATAACTTCTTTGATCGTCTTAAAATTTATGCTGGGCATGTTTTTTAAATTATCTTCAATGGCATTCAATGGTAAAATGAAAAGAATAAAAATGCAATATTAAGATACATATTAAGCTCTTGAGTCAAAAGCTCGGCCTGCTTGCTAAACAAGCTGAATAGTTTCTTTTTTTTTTCAATATTGGGGCAAACCTTAAACCAGATACCTAGCCGAGCTTGAGTTTTTCACAAACTTCGTGCTTTTTGAACACCTTTACATGCAAGATAAAGCTCTCAAACCTCATCTTCTAGCTGTCAACTAACGTCTTGTATTGTCAATGCATTCTTAGTCTGCAAAAAAGCATTCGTCCAAATTAATTCTTAATCTATAATTTGGCAAAGCATTTGTATGACTGAATTGCAATTTATATAGTTTATTTTTCCGGTGGAGGGTTGGTGGAGATATTACTAGCTGGACAAAAATACATCCTAGTATTCTGTAATAAAGTTGCTGTTAATGGTATAGTTCTTATGTCAAGCATCTTTGCCAAAAAATGGTTAAGCTGCTGCAATGTAGCATTTAACTGGACAATTTGGTGATATTTTACAAGTTGCTCTTTGGGTGGCTTACTACTACGTAAAATCAGAAGCACAGAACTACATTGTGTATTTGTAAATCTGAGCAAGATGAAAGCATCAAATGTCTATGAAGTTCTCTGTTGGCTTTAACAACTCCCTTATACTACTATGAAGTAATTTACTAGTCTTTTATTTTATGTTCATAATATGAAACACTCTGTTCAGTTGTATTTTACACGACTTCATGGCTTGTTTTGTTAAGTTTATACCAATTAACTATTATGTCGTATTCATTTTTGCTTTTCGCTGATGTGTAATATATTAATGTACGGTGCGGGGGGCTATGATGATTTGTAATATTTTGCACTACTTTCAGGTGTATGATAAATACTATGCTGAGAAGCTTGCCAGCGAGGCTTGTCAAGAACAAAGGAGCTCAAAAAGGACAAAGCCAGGATTTATTGATTCCAATGAGATCACCAACTTAGGGTCAACACAGAATGCCATCCCCAATCATGTTCAATATCAGGCCATTTCCATAGACGAGACTGAGAAATCTATGAATCGAACTTCTTGTTTCGATGGCAGAAATAATTTGAGATTTCTCAATTCTAAAACAGAATGGGGATATGGCTGTAAAGATGGCTACAATGTGCAACAAAATTCTCAGAGCACTAATATAAAAAATTATTTTCCTTGCCCCAACTACGATACTGAAGTGTTCCAGGGTGAATACTTTGATACTAAGCCCTTCGTAGCAGCACCAAAGAAATATGACTCTATTAGCTCAGAATGCTGGCATCAGCCTCAAAAAATTCTGAAGGTTTTCATTGTACTTCGTCATGTTTCACAGCTGAAATCTGGCATTCCTATTGTCCCGTTTTATGGATTTGTTGTACATTTTGCAGGATAATACCAGAAACGAGAACACTAAAAGAAATCACTCTGCAATTCAACCAGACATGTTTATAAAAAGCAGAAATAACGTGAGTATAGTGCGTGAAAATCTTCAATTTAATTTTCTTACCATGTATTCTGATCTGTCATTTCTGAGCAGAGAATTGAGAAAGTGAATGGCATAGGACTGTGGAAGCAACAGTGTCCTGTTAAAGGTCTAGAGAAGCCTGCACGTCAAGTACCATTGATAAGGTGTGTTAATGTTCGGACCTTCAATTTATTTTGTGAACTGTACCTATTGAGTATTTTTCTATCATGACTGATCTTTTGATGATATCAATCTCGGTTTTGACTTATAAAATGTAGATAATGTCAAACTCTGCCCAAAACTTCCAGTTTTTCTTATTAGATAATATCAATGTCCCACCATTTTCTAGTGCTTGCAAGGTTTAAAGTTTGCGACTTATAAGATACCAACTCTCAAACTTAAATGCATCTCCGGAGAGATTATTCTGTGCGGACACCGGATGGGTGAACCGTCTTGTTACGCTCGGTATCGAGCGTGGTACATTTTGGGGTGACGTGGCACATTTTTATTGATCTCCGGACGAAATCCGGACTCTGCACAGAATAATAAATCCTATAACTGTCAATTCAAGCACACTTTTTGATGACTAAAGATTGACGTAAACATCTAGAAATTCAAAGGGTTTAGTAGAGGCAAAAATAGAAGTTGAATGAATGACATTTTTTGTACAAATTCCCTTTATAAAGAGAGAGGATCTTGCTGAACTCTACATTTTAAGAATAATAAAAAAATTTATAAGTTCTTTCAGTCTATAATAAACATTGTCTGGCTTACCATTTTAGGCATCATTTGGACGTGGACTCCAATCTCCATCAAGATGTGTCAGGGGACACCTCCTTATCCTTGGACTAAAAGAATGGATATTCCCATCGAGTTTTTGGGTGAAATTTTAATCCAAAGGTGTGTACAGAGATGCATGGACGTGATCAAAGCCTTAAATGCTCACATATTTCATTGCATCAACAACCTAACAATTAACCAGAGATATCTTCTCCAAATTTATGCTGCGTTTGGATGGTTGCAGCCACTCGTGTATAGAGCTTATGTTTGTATAGTTTGCTAGCCTCTCTCTCTCTCTCTCTCTCTCTCTCTCTCTCTCTCTCTCTCTCTCATCCTTTTGTATATGCTCCTGTTATCATATGTGTAAATGCACATATTTGCCTTATTAACTCGTTGAAGTTTGGGTACTTGAAGTTTTGTGAAGGAGGCCCTAACGTTTTGGCTCCTGTAAAATGCTTAGATGTGTCTCAAAATTTGAATTTCTGAATACGACCTTGTATAATTTATTAATTTGTCCAGCAATGTGAAAAGCTGTGCAATTTTAAGGAAGAAATTCTTTGGTGAGTTTTTCCTATTTTTCATATATTTTTTTATTATGTGAATTTTGAATTCATCAAAAATTAAAAAGTTTGTATTTAATTTACTTCAAATCAAACATTAAAACATTAAATAATTTAAAATTTCTGCATAATCTATGGCAATGCTTGGCATTGACTAACATAGATTCTTATTTGATCAGTGTGTAAAATAGTTGCAATTCTTCTGCAATTAATGAGTACTTGCTTCCTATGGACATAATTTAAAGGCTTTAAAATTATTTATTTTCATCTGATAAGATGAAGAGTAATCATCACCCAAATCTTTTATGGTCCAAATTAGGCTGGTTAGATTTGGTCAGTTGATATTAATTTGAGCTTGGTCCATTTGTGATAGTGATATCTTTTTTATTATTTTTAAAATAATTTTTTAGTAAAAAAAATCAAAAAATTTTATATAAAAAAATAATAAAAAAATTATTCCAAATGAAATCATAATCTCCAATAATTAATGCCATGTTATAAAAATAAATTAAGATTGCTCCTTAATGAAAATGCCAGAGTCCATTTGAAATTATTTCTTATTTTGTTGATATATATATAACATGTGAGAAACCAAGTGAACATGATAATACTTTATTTTATTTTTTTATAAGAGCACAGTAAAATATCATCAATAAAAAATAAATATGTTTATGTATTTTTAAATAAACATAATTACTTATATTACTAGATTTAAATCAAACACCTAATATAAAATTATCAAATAAATTTTATCTTCATTCCCTCCGATTCCTTCAATCAAGACTGACCTTAGGCGTTTCATTTGAGTTAGCATTTAGCAAATTATTCTATGCGGAGGCCGAATGCAAAATGTCGTCGGAAGACCAATCAAAATACATCACATCAGCAATACCAAGTCGTAGTACTGAGCAAAGGGGTGACGTGACACATTCTGGTTGATCTCCAGATGACGTTTGGCATCCGCATAAAATAATTCTCTGAAATAAGATTAAGTTATCCTTAAAAAAACCGATGACTAATAGTTTTTGCCCATTACTGAGTTTTATGAGCGACTAAGCATGAAGAGAAGAAAGAATAGTGAAGCTGTGCTAGTAAACCTTAAATTCATTGAGATCCTGCCAATAAGCACTGGTAAGCTAGAACAGAAGAATAAGAAAAAGAAAACTGAGAAAGGAAAATAACCAGAACAGATAGAGAGTTTAGATTCAGGTTTCATTTTGGACGATTTTTTTACTATTTTTTTTTTAAAAAAATTTAATATAAAAATTAAAATTTTTACATTAAAAATTTTATTTAAGAAGCAATAAGAAAATTATCCCAAACAAAACCTCAAATTATCTGAAAACTTAAAAATTGCAATAATCTAAAACTGGAAGTCAACTACAAATAACAAAATAATTTAAGCTCTACCTGTACAAAGTCCAAGAGAAAACGTTGAAACGAGCTCTTTTCCATACTGAATGGCTGAAGTTAACAAAAAGTATAGCAGATCAAAAACTGTAACAGAATAAAGATCACTCGGCGACAGCAGTGGATGAGGTTAAGGAAACGAAGGACCTCCAGCAAAAGAGACGCTTCAAAATCAGATTATATCCGCTTTTGCTTTTGCGGCAGAAATTTCATAATTATATACAAAACACAAAGTCGAACTTTCATATGTAGAGAATAAATAAGCGCCTCAAGTCCAAGCAAATGAATATGGTCAGCTGCTAAAGACAAAAAACTGCAAAAAAAATGGTTTTGTTTTCAGAATTTGAAAAAAAAAAATGGTGATAAAGCTGTTGTATTACAGTAATTATGGCTTTGTTTGGGATGATTTTTTTATTGCTTATTGAAGCAGCTTTCTAGTACAAAAATTATAATTTTTATACTAATAAGCTGCTTCAAGAAACAGTAAAAAAGTCATCCCAAACGAAGCCTTAGAGCGTAGGCAGTTAAAATGATGTAAAACTTAGCTTGGAGGATTATGCATTGCAAAGCTCATTAGATAACAGTAGCATGTCATTTTGTTTAGCAATCCAGTGATATTTTTTTAATGGTATGTTTGCTTCATCAATCTAATTTATCATTTAGTTCTTTGTTATTAGAATATGGCTATTATTATGTATGTCTAGGAGACAAATGTTTTATGAAATAAAGATATGATATTCTTTTGAGTATGTTTTACCCTCTTTCTTCCAGCCATGGGATTCTTTCTATGTTCATCCTTCTTTTCGATCTCTTTTTTCTCCTTGCTTTTCCCCAGTTTAACCTTTTATATAAGAGCCTTCACTTGTCTTGTTCCTAGTCATTAGCATCAGAGAAAAGTTTCTTAATCAAAGAAGTTCCACTCACAGAATTAAGGTCTACTTTGATTTTGAGAATTAAAGAGATCATAACATCACCTTCTCCTCTTCAATCTATTTGGTTCATCATTCCATATGCTCATACACAAATATCGAAAACTTACCATAACCTTCCCCTTAACAAATTCAATTTAGAATGTTAAATCCTATAGCTTCAGTGACTTAATTTGGTTTTTATCTTCTCGTAATGGTTCTTTTATTGTCGTTTGCCTCCAATAGCAAGCATCACCTTCCACCAGTCATTTAGAATCAGTTGTAATAAATTCCAAAAATAATAATAAAACAGAAAAAGGTGAAATGTTGAGATTTTCATAAATTTCAATTTTAAATTAAAAAATAAATATTCAAATTTTGAAATAAAAAAAAAAACTTAAATTTGATAGTTTCCAAAAAAAAAAGACAATTAAAAAAATCATATTTGAAAATTGTTGCAATATTTCTATTATTTCTTCCAAGTTTTAAACAATCATTTTATCCATATCCTCACATTTCTCTCCATAATAGACTCCACAATTCCATCCACAATATCTTCCGCAAGCCCTCCACCAAAATCTCCAAATTTATCCTCTATTTGAATTTTAAATTTAAATCAGGCTTCAAATTTGAAATTCAAATTAAAATTTGAAATAACTTGAATTCAAATTTGAATTCCAACTTATAATATTCAACTTGCAGTTTTTTCCCACAATTTTCTTTCAACATCTTGATCCAATCAACTTAATTTTGTTTAGCCAATCTGATTGGCAAAATTCAACATAACTGAATCCAATAAAAAAATATTCCATAAGTTCTCTCTTAAAATCTCCCAACTTATTAGTTATCCTCTATTTGAATTAAGAACTCAAATACAAATTAGAAAAAATGAATTCATATATTCATTCTAGTCCCTTTCCATTTTTTTCAGTAAGTTCCTCAAAACACCATAACCTAATCAAACCAATCTACATAATTGGTTATAGTACAACCTATTTAACCTAACACAGCATGAATAACCTAACCAATAGAGCCAACCAAGCCCAACCATGCACTAAATGGAAAAGCCCCAATATTTAAACTATTCCTGCAGCATAAGAGGCTCAATTCAAATCAATTTAGTATTGTGTATGTGGATAGTTTAGTCAGTATTATTAATTTGTCACATTCATCTCACCTTCTTTGCTTGTCAATTTGCTATTGTCCATGATATAATAGTTACTATTAAATATATGATGGTAAATATATGATGGTCATAATAAGGATAACTGATTATAAAACAAAGATATATCCTTTATATGGCATTGACTGCAGAGACCAATTCGTCCCTTTTTCTTCTAGTCTTAGAGTTCATTCTTTTTCTCTTTGCCCTGAACTCGCACACCTTGTAGCATTAATTCGTCTCTTCTCAATCTATTCTTTCTTTTTATCTCCCATCTTCCTCTATATTCGATTCTTGAGCTTCACTTTCATTGTCCTGCTCTTCATCAATTAGTATTAGAAGAAAATTATTGAATCAAAGGAATGAAAGCGTGCTTCAATTTTTTAGATTTCCAGAGATCATACACCTGTACTCTTATCCCCAATCTTTTTGGTCTTTCAATTCAAATGCCATACAAATGCATTCCCAAAACTTTCCCATAACTTTCTCCTTTACAAATTTAATGTATATTATGAAATCCAAAACCTTTCAAGATTCAATTTATTTTTAAGCAGTTACTTTAATATTTTTTAATTTTATTTTATTATTGAATCCAAAGCCTTCTTCATGCACCCCAATAACAACCACTACATTAAGTTAATCCAAAAACTCCACAAGATAAAAAAAAAGAGAGAAAAAGCAAAAAGTCGACATTGTTATAAAAATCAAACTAAAAGCAAAAAAATTAAACATTCAACAAAATAAGAGCACAGTAAAATATCATCAATAAAAAATAACTATGTTTATGTGTTTTTAAATAAACATAATTACTTATATTACTAGATTTAAATCAAACACCTAATATAAAATTATCAAATAAATTTTATCTTCATTCCCTCCGATTCCTTCAAATCAAGACTGACCTTAGGCGTTTCATTTGAGTTAGCATTTAGCAAATTATTCTATGCGGAGGCCGAATGCAAAATGTCGTCGGAAGACCAATCAAAATACATCACATCAGCAATACCAAGTCGTAGTACTGAGCAAAGGGGTGACGTGACACATTATGGTTGATCTCCAGATGACGTTTGGCATCCGCATAAAATAATTCTCTGAAATAAGATTAAGTTATCCTTAAAAAAACCGATGACTAATAGTTTTTGCCCATTACTGAGTTTTATGAACGACTAAGCATGAAGAGAAGAAAGAATAGTGAAGCTGTGCTAGTAAACCTTAAATTCATTGAGATCCTGCCAACAAGCACTGGTAAGCTATAGAACAGAAGAATAAGAAAAAGAAAACTGAGAAAGGAAAATAACCAGAACAGATAGAGAGTTTAGATTCAGGTTTCATTTGGGACGATTTTTTTACTATTTTTTTTTTAAAAAAATTTAATATAAAAATTAAAATTTTTACATTAAAAATTTTATTTAAGAAGCAATAAGAAAATTATCCCAAACAAAACCTCAAATTATCTGAAAACTTAAAAATTGCAATAATCTAAAACTGGAAGTCAACTACAAATAACAAAATAATTTAAGCTCTACCTGTACAAAGTCCAAGAGAAAACGTTGAAACGAGCTCTTTTCCATACTGAATGGCTGAAGTTAACAAAAAGTATAGCAGATCAAAAACTGTAACAGAATAAAGATCACTCGGCGACAGCAGTGGATGAGGTTAAGGAAACGAAGGACCTCCAGCAAAAGAGACGCTTCAAAATCAGATTATATCCGCTTTTGCTTTTGCGGCAGAAATTTCATAATTATATACAAAACACAAAGTCGAACTTTCATATGTAGAGAATAAATAAGCGCCTCAAGTCCAAGCAAATGAATATGGTCAGCAGCTAAAGACAAAAAACTGCAAAAAAAATGGTTTTGTTTTCAGAATTTGAAAAAAAAAAATGGTGATAAAGCTGTTGTATTACAGTAATTATGGCTTTGTTTGGGATGATTTTTTTATTGCTTATTGAAGCAGCTTTCTAGTACAAAAATTATAATTTTTATACTAATAAGCTGCTTCAAGAAACAGTAAAAAAGTCATCCCAAACGAAGCCTTAGAGCGTAGGCAGTTAAAATGATGTAAAACTTAGCTTGGAGGATTATGCATTGCAAAGCTCATTAGATAACAGTAGCATGTCATTTTGTTTAGCAATCCAGTGATATTTTTTTAATGGTATGTTTGCTTCATCAATCTAATTTATCATTTAGTTCTTTGTTATTAGAATATGGCTATTATTATGTATGTCTAGGAGACAAATGTTGTATGAAATAAAGATATGATATTCTTTTGAGTATGTTTTAAAATCAATTCGACCCTCTTTCTTCCAGCCATGGGATTCTTTCTATGTTCATCCTTTTCGATATCTTTTTTATCTTTGCTTTTCCCAAGTTTAACCTTTTATATAAGAGTCTTCCCTTGTATTGTTCCTTGTCATTAGTATCAGAGAAAAATTTCCTAATCAAAGAAGTTCCCCTCACAGATTTAAGGTCTACTTTGATTTTGTGAATTTAAGAGATCATAACATCACCTTCTCCTTTTCAATGTATTTGGTTCATCATTCCATATGCTCATACACGAATATCGAAAACTTACCATAACCTTCCCTTTGACAAATTCAATTTAGAATGTGAAATCCTACACCTTCAGTGACTTAATTTGGTTTTTATCTTCTCGTAATGGTTCTTTTATTGTCGTTAGCCTCCAATAGCAGCATCACCTTCCACCAGTCATTTAGAATCAGTTGTAATAAACTCCAAAAAAAAATAATAAAGCAGAAAAAAGTGAAATGTTGATATTATCATAAATTTCAATTTTAAATAAAATAAATAAATATTCAGATTTTGAAATTTAAAAAAAAAAACTTAAATTTGATATTTTCCAAAAAAAAAAAAAAGACAATTAAAAAAAATCAAATTTGAAAATTGTTGCAATGTTCCTATTATTTCTTCCGAGTTTTAAACAATCATTTTATCCATATCCTCACATTTCTCTCCATAATAGACTCCACAATTCCATCCATAATATGTTCCACAAATCCTCCACCAAAATCTCCAAATTTATCCTCTCTTTGAATTTAAATTTAAACCAGGCTTCAAATTTGAAATAACTTGAATTAAAATTTTCAAGCAATTAGAAGACTTTATTTATTTGAAATAATTTCGAATTCAAATATGAATTCCAATTTATAATATTCTCCTTCCAGTTTTTTCCCACAATTTTCTTTCAACATCTTGATCCAATCAACTTAATTTTGGAACATTT